TTTTTTTTTTTTTTTACTAGCATTTCATCAGATTATCCCTTCGTAATCAATCTATTAGTTCGTAAGGTCAGCTAGTTTACGAAGTCTATTAAACGTGAATTTGAACGGGTAAGATCGGGTGTACATTTTGACAAAAGGGAATAGAAATGGGAAAAAGTTTGAAGATGAACAAAGTGAGTAAAGATGGAAGAAAAAAAAGAAAAAGAAATATAATTCGTCACGTAGGTAGGATAACGTTCAAGACCGAATGTTATTATGTAGTCCTTAATTATGACCTGTACGTGACTGTACAAAGGTAGTATACATAATTAAATCGATTTTTTTTCCCCCCCTCTTTTCTAAACATCTGTCAATGAGCATGATATTTCAACGTCGAACAACTATCAAGTATTTTTTTTTTTGTTTTCTTCTTTTCGCCTTTGTCTTGCAATATTTTTCATTTATTTAATACAAATAATATCAAAATTATTAAAAAAATATATATATACAAAGGTATGAGTAAAAATTACAAGACGTGTACAAGTCATTCACATTATTAAAAAGTGTCTTTAAAATTATTAATTTTTAAAATATATATAATATTAAATTTTATATTAAATATATTATTATATTTTATATTAAAATATATTTTATATTAAATATATTAAATATAATATTAAAAAGTAATTTTTTTTTGTTTAATTAATTTTATTTATTAATTATTTTTGTTTCATCGGTTTTACGTTCTTTCGTTTTTACAATTTTCAAATCACCCTGATTCGAAAGAAGTTTTCACTTTCAAAAAAACAAAAATTATATAAATTCGTAACTTTTCGTTTTTTTTGTTTTTTTTGTTTTTTTTTTGAAATTCTCGTAATTATGTTAATTAAGACAAATTCCATATTGTGTCGAGTTAAAATGACAAAATGTTTTCTCACGGACATTTTATTTTGTATTTTAACACGTTGCCGCAAATGACGGCTATAGCCGTCCGATCTTCGTATTTCTAAGCACGATCGTCAAATTAAAAGTGTGCGGCAACGTGTTAACACTTTATTAACCATTAGTATTGATTGATCAGCTTTTCATTGCCAACACATATCGAACCCTTTAATCGACTTTTCCATTGCTAGAAACAAATGCAGTCTGAACGATAGCCTCAAAAACGAGGCTACCATATTCCACACAATTCATATACTTTAAGTACGAATTCGGAAAATAATTTAACCAATGTGGAAAAACATGGTAAAGAAAATAAATCATTAGATTATTTGTTATAAACAATACTAATTTTACGTTTTCAAATGATTGTCACACGATAATTGCATGTACGAAACGATGTGGGGAGAGTTTGTTGAATATTTTCAAAGCAGAAACGCAAGAAAAAATGTTAATAAAATATTTAAAAAAAAAAAAAAAAAAGAGAGAAGAATGATTATAAAATCAATAAATGCATTTAAAATGTGCAACCCACGTTTATCATTACGTTTAGGACTAACCTGGGGTGTCCTCTTATCGTTAACCAATTAAATGAGTTATCCTAACGATACGCCTTCAAATGGTTTGCTTCGTTTGGTCTTTCTGATCGACACCTATCAAACGTGAATAATTGGATTCGTTAATCGTTCTCAACCAAAGATTCGCATCCTTTAATCTTCCTATTTGTTTTTCACCTATCATCATCTATTTGAATAAATACGAATAATATATCATAGATAATAGAATATTATTGATAATAATATCTACGATGAAATGGGATCACTTCTCGCGATATTGTTTATTTCATTTAAATAAATCAATCAATTTAATATACCACACGATATGCACATGCACGATATTATTGTAATCGATTGTGATGAATAAAATCTAATAAATAATCAATAACGATGACACATATTTCTTTTCTTGTTTTTTTTTTTATTTATTTATTTATTTATTTATTTCAAGATAAGTTCAACGAGTTAATAATTGCATCGAAAATAGAATTTGTAATTAGGAGGAATAGAGTTTGGAAAATTTGGTTACTTTTTAAGTTAGAAAAATAATTTGATGTAAAGATTAAAAAAAGGGAGGTTTTAAAATTAAAAATTCACCGATAGATTTACAGAGAGGGAAAAAACAAATTAATAAAAATAGGTGTGTACATGAATTGAGACGAAAAATGTATTTATAAATAAATAATCGAAATTCTTGACATAGTACGTAGAATTAAAATAAATTATAAATACGAAATTATTTTTTTTTTTTTTTTTT